CAATTTTCCACACCACTGTCCACTAAACCTGCCAAAACACATCCACTTGATTTAATTTAAAGTAAAGGAAAAGCTAAATTTAATTGTACGGTACCAAATTGAGCACATTTGTCCTTCGTTAATACTTTAACTCAAATATGCCCTTATCGTCACATAGTTGGTCCATATATGCCCTTAGAGTTACACAGTTGGCACATATATGTCCTTTTCGAAACGGAATCCACCCAAACTAATTAGCTCTTTCGTTAATTGTATTAAAGTGTATTACAAACACTATTTCCTTTTTATTAGTACTTTTTTTTCTTTACTTTTCTCTTTTCTTTCTTCTTTTTTCTTTTCTTCTCTTTTTGTTCCTTTTTCTTTCTCCCTTATCCGATTTCCTCCATTTTCATCACAAATTTCACTTGACAAAACTCATGAATTTCAATTACTAAGAAAATTCTCTCATAAGGTAATCAAGTTCCAATCCATTTCATAAGTCATTAAATCGGCTTTTAATTAGCTTTGAATTTGCACGGGTGTAACCTAATGACCAGGAATGAAATGGATTGAGAACCATAAAACCTTAGGTTTAAGTTTCAGCGGAGGCAAAAATACTCTGTCATTTTTTCTTATCTGCCAAGCCTCGGTGAAAAGTCATTCTCGGTATCTGTACAAGTAGGAAATAATAAATACTCTGTTAGTTAATTATAGAGCGAACAATTACGGTTATCCAAAAAATATTAGCTATTGATTTGAGACATACCAAAAAGTCCGATACACGAAACATCTCGTATTTATGCAAGGTTCGGGAAAGAGTATCACTTCCAAGGGAGGTGTGATATGTAAGCATTAATGAATGATTTCAGGACTTGAACCCGTAGATTATATAGAGATAATTGCTCTAACACTCCCTTCGAATTTGAGACAAACCGAATGGATTTTTCAGTGGTAATTGCACTGCCACTCTTCGACGGCACGTAACCAAAAAAAGCCATAGTCAACCACGTTCTCTCAACTGTTAACGATGTTTCACCAACCTTTAATTAATAGAATTAAAAACTTCAAAAAAAAAAAAAAACGTTTACTCCTCTGACCCATTTTGAACGGTAATATGTTCGTACTCCCTAAAGCTAATTCAGTTAAAGTGTAGAATACCATTCCACTCATAATTATTAATTTGTAGCAATGGACGTTGAACAAGTTTTAAAAAATTATATATTATAGAATTCATTAAATGAATAGCCATAATTATATAGCCGATCTCACATAATTTGTGACTAATGTATAATAATTAATGATTGTATATAATTTGAGCTGAAAACATTAAGTATTTCACTCGTTGCCGATATTGTAGATCCGCCTTACTCTGTTCCTCCAGAACGAGAAATAACGAGATTCAAGTATTAGGACAAATATAAATAANTATATAAGATTTTTGTTGAAGTTTATGAGGTCTCGTAATCCCTCGATACTACACATAAGTCCGTCTCTAGGGCTCTCCAACAATAATCAAGTATTGCACTTCTTTCTAACAAGTTATCCCACCGTCTCACGGGGATAAAAAAATCAGTATAATCCCGGATTAATTATACTAGAATTTTATCTCAACCAAACGTGAAAAAAACTCATTTCAAATTTAATCTCGGGATTAATTATCCCTTATCACTCATACCAAGTGAGCCATTTATATTTCAGGTAATTCAACATACTAATATTAGTAGGACCCAAATCTTACCTACTCAACTCTCAACTGCTAATTTTCTTAAGTATGTCCTGCATTTAATAGAGTACAAACCTATCTATTCATTGTCTCAATCATTCGAAGAAAAAGATCTTGTGTTTTTTTATGCTTAAAATCCTATTTTATTTGTTTATTTTTTATTTTTTTTCAATTAATCATAGACCTCAAACTCCAATTTGTAAATAGAGTTCTATATATGAATTATCATAATATTCCAAACTAAACACCCAGTTAAATGTATTACTCCCCTCCATTATTCCATTTGATATGGCTGTGAGGGTCAAACTATCTAATTTTATGTATTTATACGCATATAAAAACTTTAAGTTTTTAAAAATAAACTTTAAATATTTAAAAATTGCATTAAAAGTATCATAAGTTACAACTTACTACATGCAATAATTTAAAATATGAAAAATGGCCAAAAAAATTCCTTAAACTATTAAAAATAACTCAATTTTACCCTCCTTTAAGTTAACAAAAGTGGACATAATGGGGTGGGTTATTAAGATGAGTTGGGTGGGATTCACTTAAAAATGAGGAGAGTATTTTTAAGGGATTTTTACACAAATAGTCGGCTCTATTCATTATTTACTTTGTTTAGCCATGTATATAGATTATACATTANAGCTATATCATTGAGCATTTTAGTACTAAATCGTTCTTGGAGAATTAACCCAGATAGTCGCTCACTCAATTACTTAAACTAAAAATAGTTAGTGAATGTATAATATATATATATATATATATATATATTATACCTTCACTGATTATTTTTTGTTTAACTGATTGGGTAAACGGTTATTTGGGTTAATTCTTCTAAAATTTTTTTATTCAATTAAGGTCATCCACTTGTATTTTTAAGTCGGGATGAAATTTTTAATGGGTAGGGGGTAAAATTTAATTCACAAGTATAATGGTAGCGTAACTATACTAAAAAGTTAAAACAGAAGATAAATATATCTTATTTTTTATAATAAAAGGACAAACATATCTCTTTTCCGATAAATCTATATCCCTACGAATTTCAAAGGGAATCAAATTGAACAAAAAGTTAGTACTATAATAAAATATTGTTAAATCGACATCGGACCCACAATATTAGACTATTTCATCATTTCGTTGACCAACTGATACACTATGTGGACCCAATATTCCAACTAGCCGAAATATTATCCTTTTTTATTTCAAATTCAAACTTTATCTACTTTAAAAGTATTACGAGGTTTTTATCTTGTTTTTTATTAAAAGAAATAAATACCCTTTAAATAAAGACCTTTGGCCTTTCTCTTTTACTTTTTTTTTTTTGCAATGAATAAAATTCTAATTAAAGAACAATTATAGATGTATAATGTGCCACTGCATAATTTGGGTGTTTATACCCTTGATCAAGCACTCAAAATTTTGAATTATATTTAGTCAATCTAAGATATTTCTCACATGATAGGAATTAGTATGTTAACAACCAATATAAAATTAGTTAATTTAATTTAGAGAAATTTAAATAGAGCGACAAGAACAATAAATATTTCTATATCTGACCTAAAACTTGCTTAGAATTATATATACTAGGAAACTCATTTGCCAAAAATATACACTTTGATGAACACTGCTCTCGTTTACTATTTACTGATCGCATAGGACTCGGTAAAGAGGAAAGAACTTTCTACTAAGAATTTATCAATTTTCAAGACTTCAATCTGAACTCACCGGTTATTAGTTAAGAGTGAAAATATCTCACTCATTTTTACGAATATTTTTTTTTGGTAAAGTCATATAATCTACCCTAACAATTTCAGATTCATGATGTCTCAATCTTTATATTAATTTATTATTACTATTTTCAACTTTTTAAATCAAATTCCTTATTTAAATCTAATTTTTTAATTCACAATTACAGTTATAGCATGCTAAAGAGAAAATCTATTCTTATGTCTCGAATTTGAAACCTCTAATTAATGGTTAAAGATTTCATCCATCCGATAATTATATTATATTTTGGAGATATCAAACACTTTTTTGGTAGACATAAAATTGATTAAAGCTGTTCAAATAATAAATAAATAAATAAATAAAAATATCAAAGGGGTAAAAGGGACATAACATTGTTTGGAAACGGTTCAATCCTAGTGTCATAATTTCAACGTCGGCTTGACCTTTGGACGTGTAAAAACAAAAACAAATAGTCAGACCCAGCAACCCAAAAATCAACGATAAGGACAAAAGAAACCCATAAAGACAAAATATGCCCTCGATTTCCCTCTACGTTGACCCTACTCCTTTCTTTAAATGCACAGTCTACTATCTCCGTCCCTCGTTAACATAAATAAAATATTACGAGTTCGAACCGTAAAAATATTTATAAATAATTATATTATAGTAAATTATTAATATTATATTTCTTAAGGGTGTAGTCCTTATTTGAATTTTACGTGAATATGAAATACTTGATTGAACTATTTTATTTTACTTTTAAAATAAATTAAACGTTTTGAGTTCACATATTTAAGAAGTAAAGTTAATTGAAAGAGAACTCTTTATTCTTTAATTAAGCTTTATCCAATAAGACTTCGAATTAATAACTTTAGACATGATTAAAGTGATAAAAAGTTATCCACCAATGATACATATATGAAAATAATAGTAGTATACTATGCTAAACTTATTTAGATGAAGTTTAGTACTCCTACTATATATATTTTTGTTTCTCTCTATTATTTCTTAGTTTTTCGTGTTCATTTTTTGGGTTAGCATCCTAATTCATGGCGAGCCAGAATTTTTATTAAGGGGTATTAAAATATATAAAAGTAAACATATCAGAAAATTAAGGGGAGTTAATACATAATATATATATATAAATATAATTTTTTTATCTAACTATACGGTGTATTTTTCACGCAAAAGAGTATCGATCCTAACTATTATGAATTCGTATAAAGCTTATTAAAGGAGAAAAAGCTATCGTAATACTGCGATATTATGACGTTTCAAATTTCACAAGTGAAATTCTATTATAGTTGATTTATTTCAAATACAAGAAGCGAAAAGTAGATATTTATGAATTTTATCCGAGAGCCCACGATCTTTAATTAAGGATGAAGAAGAATTCAATCCATATTATTGTAATCTTTGATTACGACTAATTTCACGATTCAAACTCATAACCCGACAATTTTATTGTTACTCCAAACACTCTCTTTCATTAGCCGCAAAAAACAATTACAAAATAGATTAGTCCATTCTCTCTCTCTCTCTCTAGACTAGAAATAGTATTTGTTTCCTCTCTCTCTATATCTCATTTTCTTTCACAACAAACCCAACAAACTCAAACAACTTTTTCTTTTGCCTCTCTGTAACTCTGCTTTTGTAGAGAATAGAAATATATACATATAACAGTGGTTACTGTTGGGGGAGGTGGGTATGAAATGAATAGAACGTGAAATGGGAGGCGGCTTTTCGTGTTTTACCAACCCGGCGGTGGTGAACCGGACTGAACCGGAGGTAATATTCACCGGCAGCGAACCGCTCGACGAAACCCTAGGCCATTCCTTCTGCTACGTTAGGTCATCCGCCCGGTTTGGTCTCTCTCCGACAAACTCGGACCGGTTCGTTTCGCCTTCTCAGTCTCTCCGGTTCGATAATGAACCGGCTCCGTTAAGGAGCGAAACCGGATTCAGAGCCATTTCAGGTGCTTCTGTTAGTGCAAATACTTCTACTCCCCGAACTGTCCTCCAACTTGACAATATTTACGACGATGGCACTGGTAGTGTTGTGAATGGTTTTGAAAGTACGTCGTCGTTTAGCGCTTTACCTCTTCAACCGGTTCCTCGAACCGGTTTAAGCAACGAACCGTCTGGTCCAACGGAAAGAGAGAGGGCGTTCTTCATGTCCGGTCCGATCGAGCGAGGAGCTCTATCCGGTCCACTAGAGCCCGCCGTTCCATTCTCAGCTCCGTTGGGTGGTGACGGCATTTACGTAAAAAAGAGAAAGTCGAAGGGCATTAATGGAATTAAAAAGGCCTTTAAACGGCCGTGGGTGGTGCCAGTGAGAAACTACTTCATAGGTAAAAAGGAAATTAACTGTACACGTGATTATAGTGGATGGCATTTACGTANTTCTCAGCTCCGTTGGGTGGTGATGGCATTTACGTAAAAATGAGAAAGTCGAAGGGCATTAATGGAATTGAAAAAGCCTTTAAACGGCCGTGGGTGGTGCCAGTGAGAAACTACTTCATAGGTAAAAAGGAAATTAACTGTACACGTGATTATAATGTGAATGTTGAATGGGCATTAGGAAAAGCGGGGGAGGATCGTGTGCATGTGGTTGTATGTGAAGAACATGGGTGGCTGTTTGTTGGGATTTATGATGGGTTTAATGGACCTGATGCACCTGAATTCTTGATGAGTAATCTGTACAAAGCAATGAACAAAGAATTGGAGGGTTTGTTTTGGGATAGTGAAGATACTAGTCGTAGTAATAATAACCAAGAAAGCGAAAAAAATGCAAGTTTAAATAATGCAAATATAGGAAATGAAGTGATCATTGAGGAATCGAATGAAGCTAATTCGAATGGAGTGCATAAGGAGATGAGTAGGGGGGATAGGGGAGTAAAAGAAGCTGAAAATGAGGTTAATTTGGCTCAGATGGATAAAGGGTGTGAAAAGAAGGTGATATTTCAGTCAGAAAATGCAAATATAGAAAATGAAGTGATTGGTGAGGACTCGAATGAGCCACATTGGAATCGAGGACCTAAGGCCACAAGTAGGGGGACTAGGGGAGTAGAAGAAGGTGAAAATGAGGTTAATTTGGAGCAGCTAGATAAAGGGTCGGAAAATGAAGTGATCATTGAGGACTCAAACGAACCAAATTTGAATCGAGCAGCTAAGTTGACGAGTGGGGGAGAAAGGGGAGTAGAAGAAGGTGAAAATGAGGTTAATTTGGAGCAGCGAGATAAAGCCCGTAAAGGGTCGGAAAATGAAGTGATTGGTGAGGACTCGAACGAACCACGTTCGAATCGAGCACTTGATGCCACAAGTAGGGGAAATAGGGGAGTAGAAGAAGGTGAAAGTGCGATTAATTTGGAACAGATGGATAGAGGGTCTGAAAAGAGAGTGACATTTCAATCAGGGGAGATAGAGGTTAGGAGGAGGAGATTGTGGGAATTTTTAGCAGAAGATGAGACAGAGGATGGTCTTGATCTTTCGGGTTCAGAGAGATTTGCATTTTCAGTAGATGATGCTTTAAGTGTAAATAGTGCAGGTTCAGCAGTTAATAGGAGGTCGTTGCTGTTGTCGAAGTTGAAACATGGTTTGTCAATTAATAAGCACAAAGAGAGTAACAGGTTATTCCCATGGAGATTCGGATTGCAAGCTAAAAAGAAGGTTGAAGTAGGGGAGAATAGAGTGGAGGAAAGGATTGATAGAAGTGAAAGGAAGCGTAAGGTGGGTCCGGTTGATCATGAGTTGGTTTTGAGAGCAATGTCAAGAGCTCTCGAAGTCACTGAGCTCGCGTACTTGGATATGACAGATAAAGTTCTTGATCGGTACCCTGAGCTTGCATTAATGGGTTCTTGTTTGTTGGTTGCTTTGATGAGAGATGAAGATGTGTATGTAATGAATGTGGGAGATAGTCGTGCTATTGTGGCTCAGTATGAGTCTGAGGAGGTTAGTTCTAGTTCAGAATCAATAGTTCCAGGCAACTGTGAGTTGGCCGTTGAAGGCATTGCTGAAGAATCTGTAGTTGCTGGTGATGAGGAAAATAAAGCGACGAATGAGATACCTATTCAAGCTATGAAGCTGACTGCCTTGCAATTGTCAACTGATCACAGCACTAGCATTGAAGAAGTAAGGTTCCTCGGTTTCTTTGATACTCAATGGGTTGTTTCTGGTGCTTCCTTCCATGTTTGATGTTTCATTGATTTATGAGTTATGACATTCTGCTAAGTACTGGAGTACATAAATATTTTACTCCGTAAGAATTACAAAACTTCAGAATGATGAATGCATGTAAATTAAAAGCTATTTCCTTTATCTGGTGCTCCAAAATATGATGCTGTTTTGCTCATCACTGGCTTTACTGATCTAAGATCATTGAATGCAGTAGGTTATGAAATTTATTGGGATATAATTTCTAAATAAAAGCCTCTGAAGCAAAGAGGCCTCAAAGTCAGTTTCTTGCTTTAGTTATATGCAGGGCTGTATCATATATGTGCCTGCCAAACTGGTTGTTCTGTAGGTCTGGTGAGTTGAATCTTTTGGTCACAGTGTATTGAACAATTAAATTTTTGGGTTGGCAGCATTTAGCTGGTATAGGCAGGTTCTTAGAAACAGTTCAGCATTTGCGATAGTTTGACCCTCTCAAATGGTTCCTTTTCCTATAATCTGTTATTCCTTTCCATGTCATAAGCTTGGTCTTCCTCAATATTGTAGGTTCCTTCTTTACTGCTGTGCTCACTTTTGCATAAATGACAATAATCTGAAGAGGGATGTACCACGCGGCATGAGATGCTGCTCCTTTAGCCCAAGTCTCTTTCTTTGCATCTCTCACTCTCTCTCTCTCTCTCTCTCAAAGATTTTAATGAATGTGAGTGTTCCGGATTTTCATGAATTTGCGCTTAATCTCTATAAGTGGATCAGGAATGCAGTCAGATCCTTTCCGATATTGATTGCCTTCTAATCTTAAAACTTTCTTAAAATAGAGTGCAATACTGTTCAAACCTTATGGTTCATGAGTCTTGGGGATATATTAGAAGGTATAATTTTGCCACTCTTTAATGTAATAGTGACAATGAGGAAACTTCATAATATTGGTTTCCCTTAGCTCCATTTTTGTCAATATATTTGCCTTGTCTGGTATTCTTTTGGTCATCTAAATGAAATAATGGATTTGGAATCTTCCTGTAAGCTTCTAATATACTGCTCAAGTAGCTCCATACATTAGGTTCCTTCTATACTTGTAGTAAACACTGTATCAGATGGAGCTACTTGAGGTGTTAGATATCTATTGATGAATCTTTCTTTTGTTTTCTACTTCTTCCATCTTCATTTATTCTGCTCTTTTATTCCTGCATCTCTCTATTTTTTAAGCAAACTGTTGTTTGTAGTTTCCCCGGACCCCACATGTGGAAATATACTGGATATGTTGTTGTTGTTGTTTGTAGTTGGATACTGGTTTCAGTTTTCTTTCAGCTACAAAATTCATGTATTGATGTGATGCTCTCAACATTATTTATTTTTATATTATTTTGTCTTTGGATTATTGGACGAAGATGAATATGATAAAACTGCTGAATGCCTCAAGTGAGTGGGTTCTCTTTTTCTTTTTTCTTTTTTCCTTTTCCTGTCCAACATTATCATTTGGCAGAAACGTTGCCTATTGGGATGGATGGACAACTCCTACCATGATAAAATGATTATACCTGCGCTTAAGCATAGGACCTTAATATAATAATGTCTTGTTGAGCAGTGAGTGTACAACTAGACATTTACTAACTTTGATGAATATTCATTTTTTTCTCCATTAGCGACGATGCAATGCATCAGATTTTGTACTCCATGGAAAACAAAAGTCAAACAATATAATGAGGTAGATAAATTAAAAGAAAAAGTGAAATAAATGCCTGACATATCTTCATTTTCTTGTAACATTTGTGAAAGGCTTCAGGCTTCCTGTATTTGTTGGGCCTTACTTATCAAGACATTAGATGAGCACAAATAATATATATTGGCTCCAATTTGAGGCCTGCACATTCAAGTTGATCTTTTCGTCTTTTATCTAAATTGCCCCTAATACTAATTGCAGTTCACTGATTTTGCTAGTTGTTGAATGAGCTAGTAGCTGTAACAGCACCTGTATTGCTATCACGCATAATTGTGTTCACTCTTTACTCTGACATAACCATTTCTGCTGGCCAGATATGGTTAATGATTCCCATGTTGTCTGTTTCGGTTCTACCAAGTTATAACTTCTCATTGTTGTTAGTAAAGTGTGTTTGACCAATGAATGCGATTGGCACTGAGTTTATGTCTCATTTGTCATTGTGAAACCTGTAATTTTTAATTGTCTGTTGCTTGTAACATTTCCATGTTTGTATTTTAATCAGTCAGGTTCTTAAACAGTTTGTTTCTTGTAACGATTTCCAGGAAGTTATTAGAATCAAGAATGAACACCCAGACGACCGCAATTGCATTGTTAATGATAGAGTGAAAGGTCGTTTAAAGGTCACTCGCGCTTTTGGGGCGGGCTTCCTGAAAAAGGTTTGTCATTTGTTTTTCTTTCTCCATTCTGGTTTCCAATCCCGAAAATCTCAAGCAATTGAATCAAATTGCACATCTGCACATTCTGAGCCTCGTTTTGCTTTAGATATTGTGGCATCAGAGGACCCTCTTTGACTATTTCCATTTCTGGTTTGGCCGAAATTCTGTGGTTCTCTAGGATATGGAATGTCATGCACTCTTAGTCCTAGCATTCCATCTAGTACAGATATATATGTTTCTACCTACAGTTACTCTGGACATGTAAAGTTTGCCACACGTTTAATTATCTGAATGAACATCCTACTTTGAATTGTTGCTGTAAACTTATATTCTGTTTTGACATGCTTGCTGCCAATCCGCTTAATATTTTGAGATGTGCCTGTGCAGCCTAAATTGAATGATGCATTGCTAGAAATGTTTCGGAACGAGTACATTGGGGATGCTCCTTACGTATCTTGTAAACCTTCGCTGCGCCATCATAGACTCTGTCCTAAGGATCAGTTTTTGGTGCTATCCTCTGATGGCTTGTACCAGTATTTGAGCAATCAAGAGGTGGTTTGTCATGTTGAGAATTTCATGGAGAAATTCCCTGATGGGGATCCTGCTCAGCATCTTATTGAGGAGCTCTTATTCCGTGCAGCCAAGAAAGCTGGTATATTTTCTGTCTAGTCTTTCTGTGCAGAGTTAAGGGTAAAAAGTTACTGTTTTGATGATTCTTTACGTTTTCAAGTGGCTGCACGCCCTTAATTTTTGCTAGGAAATTACATTTAAATTTTCAGATTTTTTACTCTCAATCATCTTCCTCCTATTGTCCAATTTAGACCAATTCTGTATTAGGTGGGAACACTAAATTGGACCCGCTCTGATACTGTGACACAATAACATACAATGCTTATTCTGGATTTATGACCAGATTATCCGCCATGGCTTAATTTGTTAATGTCTACTTCTCTTTAACTGATGGAACAAAGATACGTCTTGAGGTTTGAGAAACATCCGTCTTTTACTCGTTTAAGCTGCTACACTAGCTCTGACATTTGATAACTATAAAAAAGCCTATGTCAAGAATATTATTTTCACTATTTAGTTAGAATTGTAAACCCCTGAATAGTGCATTATATTCTAATTGAATTGTTAATGTTTTCTTGCAGGAATGGATTTTCATGAATTGCTGGACATCCCCCAGGGAGATCGTAGGAAGTACCACGACGATGTTACTGTTATGGTGGTATCTCTTGAGGGAAGAATTTGGAAGTCGTCTGGGAAATACCCCTGAGTTTTTACAATTTCCATGTATAGTGGTGCTGCAATTTTGATCTCTTGAGCTGGGATGTTGAGAACAGTGGTGGAAGCTGGACAGTCGCTCAAGCTCACAGCTCCGGTTATCCCCTTGACAACAGCCAAATCTAGTGCTAGAAATATGACAAGGCTCGTAAAAAGTAGAAATTTTGTAGCTGGGATTGCTCAGAACTGCTGCTAGAAAAGAAAGAAACAGGATCTCTTCATTTAGTTTCTTTTTAGATTTTGCACAGTAGAATAGTTATTTTCATTCTTTCAAGTTCTTTTTCTCTTTTTGCCCCCATCTCATCTACTCTTTAGAGCCAAAATCAAGTGATTGTGACAAGGTGGTTGGCTTAGTTACGAGTTCTAGCCTTCTAGGCAATATATCTGTATTTTGGAGGTGGATATTCACCAATCAATTCAGTTTACAGAGAAGAGAAGTCTTGTTGAACCCTTATGTAAAAAGTTATCTTACAGAATGGGGTAAAGGGAAAGGTACATCACATACTTTTTATGCTGATTGCAGTATATCAATATTTCCTTCATTTTTTACAGTCTTGTACATCTGGTGATAGTAGAATCTGGGCTTATCCCATGACCAGCTACTGCAGGATAGTCGAGCGTCGTGTATACCTTAGCAGCGTTTTTCCTTGCATTTATGCAAAGGAATTGTTTTCACGTCTCGAACCTGTGGCCTACTAGTTAAAATACTAGTTCTAGAATAAGGGTTTTATCAAGCTGAACCCCATCTTTTATTATCTCACAGAGAATGGTAACAGAAAAGAAGCTTGAGACCCATACGAAGTCGCCACGAATGGATGACTAGTGAGACAGAAAATGTTTCAGGTAGAAGCATAGACAATGGAAGTTCAAATAAATATCACCTGATATTTATTTCTACAATACCAAAAAGAATTACATTTAATGTAAAGAGGAATACACTGAACAACTGCTTATTTTCGTTTATAAGAAAACAGACTTTGATTCATTATCAATAGTGCACATCGGAACTAAGAAAGAAAAATGCGCCACATTTCAAAAAGTTTCACCATCAAAGGCGTGAGGGATCTAGCAGTTCTCTAATATGAGTTTCAACTTTCTTCCGAATTGAAGCATTTGGGAAACGGTCTACTACTTCAGCAGCAAACGAAAAGATCAAAGCTTTTCTGGCAGTTTCAATGTCAACACCCCGTGCCCTGAAGTAAAACAGTTGGTCCTCCTCGAGGTCACTGATAGCAGCACCGTGAGAGCATTTGACATCATCAGCGATGATTTGGAGATTAGGTTTGACATTCACAGTTGCTCGAGGCTCCAAAAGGAGGCTCCGTGTAAGTTGTCCTGCATCTGTCTGCTGTGCATATCTGCAACATCATTTATAATAATAGACACATTAAACAATAATCAAAACCATCGACACAATTTGACAGTCGCGTGCAGTATCTGAATAAAGACTACTGTATTCAAATGCAGTTTTGAGTAAACTAAAGGAGAAAAGAAGGTGAAGTCTTTCCTAAGTTTGCATTATATCTCTTATTGATAAGATAAAACTCAAAAGCTGAGACACCAGCTTTTATCTTCTAATAAAATTAACTGCCTAAATAAATAATAAAATTGTAAAAGTCGTTATAATCAACTGAAATACTACTACTACTACTACAACAACAACAACAAACTGTAATCCCACGAGTGGGGTTTGGGGAGGGTACTGTGTACGCAGACCTTACCCCTACCTCAAGAAAGTAGAGAGGTTGTTTCCGAAATCAACTGAAATACTCCGGTTCGCTATTTCACATGGACCATTTGACTATTGGACACAACCACACAGGTACATTCACCAACTATTTTAAGAAAATCGATATAAAGTACCCATGTCCGTTTGACATAAATAGAATATAAAGTGAGTCGAGATTCAAGGCAAACGGAGGATTTGAGTGACACAACTAGCAAATGATACCTGATCCATTGACCGCCAAAAAGCAAGAAATGTCGAGGCTGCTAACTTTAACTGATGTCATGGAATATGCCACTTCCATTCAGGCTTATACTATCTTAATATATCGGAACATCTTTGTAGATTGCAGAACATAAACCGAGAATTGACTAAGATTGTACCACAGTGAAATAGTAGTGAAAGTATTTTGAACAACGCAACATTGGGACCCTCCAAGAAAATACATCACCATATAAATAATTTAAAAAGAAAATCACATAAGAAAACGTGAACAGAAACAGTACCATGAGATATAGGATACACAGACGAAACAATATCAGTATTTAAATGTTCAACACTGGTGATTTGCAGAACGAGTCACTCAAATAAACACCAAAGGTGCGATAGAATATAATACCTATTGACTTGAACGTTTCCATCAAAAACAGCCTGTCCAGACGAATGGGCCACAATGCACTTGTGGATCTGCTGAGAGACACCTCGAGGGTGATCTAGGACTAATCTACTGTGTAGATCTTGTGTTTGATCGGAGATGCACATATGAAATGTAGATAACTCAGTAACTGTGTCTGGACCAACTTGCTGGATGTGAATATTGTGCCTACTCAACTTTCCACCAGTGCTTACTTCTATATGCTCGTATGTGCTAGTTGATTCCTGAAAATAATCAACTCAA